ATTATCCATTAGTGAAAAAGGAATAAAAGTAACGTTGTGAGAATAAAGTGGCATTTTCATTAACAATTTATTTACTTTTTAAATAAAATATTTTATGATTTTATTTTTACTCAATTTTTTAGAATTAAACAATCAATATTTTTATTAGTTTTTATTTATTGCTTTTATTTTCTCAGTTAAAGTCTAAAATTAAAGAGGACGGGAAAAAATTTATGTTGGTGATTTTGTGTTGGTGTGTTGCCATAGTTTTCATCATATTTTTGTAACATTTCATCAATTTTTCTTCCCTTAATGCAAGCTACTTTTCGAGACATTGTTTGCCTTTGGGCAGTTCTCTATATTATATTCCCATTTTGATATATGAAAATCACATATCTTCTAATCTTAAAATAAATATTCAATTCTATTATTTTATTAATAAAGCTACACTTTATTTTATTTATTTCTATACTTTTACATAGTGAAATTGTATTGAAATAATATGTAAATATAATAAGTTAACATAGTGAATAATATATTTTATAATAATTAATTTATTCCTATATTAAAACAATGTTTTTCGACAGTATATCTTTATGAGAACTTCTAAATGAGTGATCGAGTGATAGTATACTTTTTTTGCGTTGCTAATATAAAATAATTATTTTATTTTACCATTAAAATATATTTCCTTTTCATAATTTATGGTTAAAATTGAACAAAATTAGTAATGGCTGTTTTTATTTGTTCTTTTTTATATATTATATACAGAGGGAGACACGCAAGTTCACCCATCTCATACATTCATTCTATTATCATTTTCATATTCTTGAGTTTTGATTGAAGCAAAATTGTCAATCAATTTTTAACAAAAGCTAGCAAGTGATCCTAATTATTTCCAAGTACTACAATTTCATCAACTTCTTCTATTTAATTTAGAATATTAATCTCAATAGAGTAATCTTGTCAAAGTTGTTGTTGTCCATAAAAGATATAAAACACGTATATATAAAAATATTATAATATAAATTGTTGTTCAAACCAATCCAAAAGTAATAACCAACCAAAATTGAACTTATTTTTGGATTTATTTTTCTTTAATTAAATGCTTATTCTAATTTTGGATTGAAAATATGCAAAAGTTCTTTGAAAAATGTTTTATGATTTAGTTGTAAATATCAGATTCATAACCTTTAAGTTAAATTTAATATTATAACAATTGGTTTACATCCAATTCTCTCTCTCACAAGAAGTAAGAGTTCAAACATCACTATTTGAATCTGACTTGATCTATCCAGCATCTCCACCAAATAATTATTATTCCTGCAACAATTAATGAATTGAAACCATAGTTAATTTTTTTCTTATAAATTATTTTTATCTGAGCATTTATTATTATATGAATATGTTGAAAGTTTCAAACATGTTACAAAATATCTACCATTTCTTTATAATTATTTTTATCAGAAAATCTAATTGATCTTTCTGATCATAATCACCTTCATAATCATGANATATATATATATATATATATATATATATATATATGTGTGTGTGTGTGTGTGTGATGACATTTTTAATTTATTTTTATTATAATTTAATTATAGGTGAATTTTCTATGGTACTTTTATCATATATTGGTTTAAAATATGTTTTTCTAATGATATTATGTTTTTTTTTATTATAGAATGTATATGTAAAGTGAGTGTATGATGAGCGTTTATATAATAATTGTTATAGAAGTGTGAATGGAGATATTCAAATATCACTAGTATATACATTATTCATCAAAATGATATCTTTTAAGTTAATTATATATTAAAATATAGTGTGTAAGAATATTAAATAAGAGTTTTATATGAATTTGTGGTTTTGATTTTGTTATACTATACATGTATAAATGTTCAATTTTTTTCGAAGACGATGTTTTATACTTAGTTTTATTTTATATCAAATTATACTTAGTTTTATTTTATATTAAATTATAAATGACTTGCGGAGTTGATTAATTTTGAGATGAGATTATTAAATCTATTAAAATTTAATTATGTTATTTAATGTATAGACTAATAAATATATTGTGTCATGTTGATAGTGTACTGATACAATTCTAAAAATTTGATAATTTTTTTCTTATTTGATTATAAGAGAAGTGAATATTAAGATTATTTATTTATGGTTATTTGTACTACAAATATAAGGCTCTAGAAAAACTATTATACCTCTACCAAATTGTCCCTATGTCTAAAAATATATACCAAATATCAAAACATTAAAATTATTCGACACATTAAAGTTTATCCTTTCTGACATAAGAATATCACAACACTTGCAATGAGCCTCTTTTCTAACTTTGGTTCTAGTTGAATTAAAAGATTATGTTTTCATCCCTCATGGAAAAGAAGACTAACATTTGATGACATCAACAAGGAATTTACAGCCCGGTGAAAGATTTTATTTTGAGAAGTTTTATTCCCCTACCAGTCATCTTGAGCCTGTTCTACTAGTTTCTCATTTGGAACTTTCATCAGTATCTACTCTTGAACCCCATTTTCAACTAACTATTCAGCCTTGTATTCTTCTTTTTCAAGAGTTCCTCCACCTCTTAAAAAAATTAAACAGAAATAGTTGACACAAAAACCTTCAGGTGTTTAATTTAAAGTCTCTTGAAATCCATGCAAACAGCAACCACCCCCAAAAAATCTGAAAAAGAAAGAAAAATTGAATACTTCACTGAAAGGTCCATAGCATCTATGAAAAGTGCTAACCCAATAACGAAAATCAACACACAAATCTATACCCTCATGTTGATACTCAGACTACCAAAAACTTAATCAGAAACTAAGATAAAAAGTATCAGACTTTTCCAAGCCTACATACGTATGGATGGTAGAATACAAATTAAGATTGAAAATTATCTTGAGCAGCCAAATACTGTAATGAAAAAACTAAAATTTGTAACAGAGAAACGAAAATTTGGTCCATGCAATCATAATAATACCCTTTTGATGAAAAATAGGAAACTTCATGTTTGCAGGTGTTATCTGATGCAAACCTCATCTGCAGTAGCATAATCTACTAATTGCTCCTGAAATTTCCGCAGTGAATTGTATGAAAAAGAAAAATTATTTTGTTCCTCCCAGGTCTTGAAAATTAAGACATACGAAGATTGTTGTATGTAACCGAACAAAAACAGCGTTTACTATAAAAAAAAAAAAACAAAAAACTTACAACAATAACAAGAAAACGTAGAAGCTCAGTGCCGTGCTATTGCTGCATCGGTGCTAAGGGGATTTGGCTGCCTCGATGTTGAAGTTTTGATTCTCACCCTAAAATAATCTACAGAGATGTAAAACGGGATCAAGGTTCCATAGTATTGAAAGTTAGAAATGAGTTGCAAAGTAAAAACTAAATTGAAAACTAATATTTTCTAAATTTTAAAGTGCATATTGAAAAAAGTATATATCCAATCTAAAAAAATTATAAAATTCCCTATTATTTTAGTTTTTTAGTCTCAAATGTCCTAAGAACTATGAAACATCAGGACATCGCAAACCCGTGTCAACTTATACCTCTGGTTGCATGAGCAAACTGATATCCCTAAACAAATGCGCTTCCTTTTGGAATCAACTCCACAACACTGGTTGTATTCAAGTCCCACTATAAGATTGGATATTTTAGTTTTAAATCTCTCAACGTTTATGGCTAGAACAGGATAAAAAAGTTCATTGACTCAAACGAATTTTGTTTTTAAATCCCTCATACTTACTTCCTTAAGACCTATAGAAAACTGTATAATCATAAAAAAATCATCGAAAGAACGTAAAATCTACATTAATCTTATGATTTTTAAACAAACTGAGAGGATATACATTACTAAAGAAGTGAGTGATCCTAACATTTATCAATGTCAAAGGCAATCAAAACTCCACAAGTATAATTGCTCTGAAATCTGATTCCACAAAAATCTAAACCTAATTACTTCCCAAGCTAGAGGACCAGCTGGTGTATCTCCACAGATGTCTTTAGTCGCCAAACCCTTCAACTGTTAAAAAAAACGATATCCTATCAGCCAAGTCTCTGGATTTCACCAAAATTTAAAGGAAAAAAGATGTACAACGCTGTCACAAAAAAATAATATTTAACAGAACAGATCAAAAAAATAATTATAAATCAGATCATACAAATTGTTCTTAAAAGGTATATCCCAATATCTCAATAGTTAAATGGATGTCATCAGTTTTCTTGGAGACTGAAACCCAATTGAATGTGTAAGCTATTTTTTTTTTCTATAGACTTATCCCATGAAGATACACAGCTTATATTGTTCTAAAAAAAGGAGAGTAAATTTTAATGTCACATGTGTTGGCGGATCCAGGTGGATTCGAACCACCAACTTCCCATATGCAACAGCAATTGGGTGCTCGTTCCGATTCGAGCTAGTGGATCAATTGTATCCTTGAGAAGGTTGCATACCAAGTTTATAAGCCAAAATATTGTAAAATACTTCATGAAATTAAATTATTTAGATGTCAAACCACAAATCAAGAAAAAGGATTTTCGAAATTAATAAAGGTAAACTGAAGAAGCAAAATGAGGAGGAAAAAACAGTAGTAACTCCTCAACATAAGTAACAAACTACTTTAATAAAACGGATGTTCTTAAAGTGATTTGAATCATACACTTGTCGAGCACACAAGACTAGGAAACATTAAACAGTCAATTACTAAATGAATATTCAATTTCAGATCATATGGTCCTCCCTGAGAATTAATTATTATTTTATCGAAACAATATTCAATCAATTAACTTACAAACCAGGAGGATCAAACTGATAATCCATCACATCTTCCCACAAAATCTGATTCGCAAAATATAACGACGAAACCGAATTCTGAGAACCAATTCTAAACCAATATGTTGTGAAACAAGAGTAGTAAAACACCAAAACTAACACTAAGTAGCGGGATAATGGGCCAAACCGCACCAAAAGTTCTACATGAAAACATTTACAAAAATACCTGGAAAAAACTGTTTCAGCATGTTCATAGTTAAAAAATGGAGTAGAGAACAAACCAGAGACAAATATTTTTCCCATGAATACAGAACGAGGAAAATTTTCAATAACAATGATCAAGGATAGGAGAAGTTGAGAACAACCACCAACTTCAGGATTTCGTCAACAGTATACAGATTCCCCGAAGATGTCGCCAAATATAAAAGACGTGACCATTAACGTCGACGTTACATGACCGAACATAAAACAATCGTTTGATTATAATGCACTGCGGCTTGTCGTTGATCCAGCATGATTTGATGAAGCACCAAAGTCAAATCTCTAGATAAATAGCCTCGACGTGGATCGAAATTTTCAAGTGATAGAAGATTGATATCTAACCTGCAAATAGAGCACAAATCATGTTAGACAAAAGGCACATTCAATCACCAATAAGAGCATCAATTGTTAATCATAGGCATAAATGAGATACTAATTAAGCACTAAATTATTTAATGTGTCCAGCAAATTCTACCCGAAGTTCCAAGAAAATAGCAAATATGCCAGAGAATGTCATAATTTGATGTTTACACAACTGTTTGCAATGAAGACCAGACAATTCCAAACAAAGATCGACAACATGAACTAAAACTAACCATTTATACTACGCAATCCAATAAACAAAACCAAATTACAATTATGAATGTAAGTTACTTCTAAATTCCAACAAGAGAATTCAGGAAGAGCAAATATAAAAACTATAACTAAATCCATACCCATAAGATGTAATGGTCCGAGATCAACCCATATTACCTCCAAGTCTGAAGGTCCTTCCCCGCTTCGCAGAATAACACGTACATTCATCCTCTGCATGATCTCAGACTCCTTTTCAAATACTATATCTAGACTCCAAAGGAACATGTAAGAGGCCAGTCGCACAGTTCTTGACAAAGGCCAATATTGATGCTGATCCAAAGCAGAATACTGCAGATATAAGGAACCTTAAAGCTACACTAGGCACAGGTGTTTACAGCAATCTATGATCACTGCCTCGTGTACCACGGCAGATTTTTTAAACATAAAAATACAACAAAATCCCAATGATCCTAAACAGAACTAAAGTACAAATGTTAGCCAATAATAGCTCCATAATACAATTGCAGTAAGACATCACCCTAACCTACGAGATTATCACAATACATGCAGGATTCTACGAGGAGACATTGACTGGTATTTATAGATAAAAACTTTAAGATAAGTTTAAAATATAAATATATATAACTAAAAAAATGAAAAAATAAGTTTAAGTACTGCATCTGATATAAATGAACTAGTTGATGTGCATGTGCGCTCAACAGAAAATATAAACATTCGCACACTATTATATCGTGAATCCAAAGGCACTTTGATTCAATTGTTAATATATGCATGAGCTCTCAACAAAGAAACATTTGCACATTTTTTATTGTAATTCCAAAGCCACTTTGATTCAATTGTTGAATAATATATAAATTTGGAACAAATATTAAAAATCATGCTGTGCCTCAGTTTAATAAATTAACTTTAATCAATCAAGTTAAAGTTTATAAAACCACAGAACTAAAAGGAGCAATTTACATTGTTCAAATCTCCTTCGATGAAGTTTATAAATTCCTTAATTATTAATTTATTGGAAACCCCCTTCAAATCAATTCTATTGATGTGAATTACAAATCACAGTAGGGCAGAGTATATATGCTTAAACAAATAATTTATTTGCGAAATTATAAAACATACGGTCAAGAAATAATTAAAGTATGCATAAATTGTAGCAATGACTTAAATGTTAATTAAGATTCAATAAAACCGCCCTATTAATTGATTTAGATGCATGGAATAGTGTTAATTATGTATTGCAAACTCGAAGAGTAAATTCATAAACAACGAAATTAAAATGAATTAAAGTGTGCATTCAGCACTATGTACCTTTCCGAGTAGCCAATCGTTTTGTCGTTTTGTTGAGCCGATATGCAGTAAGCGAACCAGAATATATAAAAAAATTCAGAGTGCAGAGCAGAGAGACTAAGGAAGAGAAAGGGAAAGGGAAAGGGTAAAACACGACACCACGGGGAGAGAGAAAAGAATCGGGGAAAAAACTAAAATAAAAGCCCCGACTCCTACCCTCCCCCAAACAAAAAAAATAACCATTTTATTAACGCTTTTCGGACCTGCCATGCAAGCGCACCTGACATGGCAAAGGTCCATAAACAAGAGCTAACATCAGAACAATCACTTACACACACCCCTCGCAACCATACCTCCAAATATATCAACCAGATCCAATAACCACATAAAATACCTAAACGATCTTACCAATACAACCTGTTCCGGTATTAGCCCCATCAAGAATCAACCCAATCAAAATACCTTAAGCCAGAGCACTCAGATACGAGATCTTTTACAAAAAATCTCAAACTCCGAATCCACCAAATCCTTTATTAATATACCTCTTAGTGGTTGTAGAAGATCCATGTAATCACGAATCGGATGGAAAATCCCGACATCTTGTAGGTTGGTTCCGCGCACGATACTGACCAACCACGAATTCGCCATAATTCCGATTCTGGAGGAGCGGAACGATCTTCGGTCATCCGGAAGGCACAAAGTCAACGTAACACGAGGAATCTCGCGATAATTACTAAGTTGAGTCTTTCGACAAGTGACCATCAACAACATCCACCACAGAAAAACCACGATCAACGCCGGCGCCACCGAAACCTAACAACACAAAACCATAACCGTTTAAAATTAACAGAAAATTCGTAAAGGTACTACTCCTAATCTAACATACCTAATTAAAATTAACGATCAAATTAAACAATTACTTGCCTGCGTAAAACCAGTCTCCTTCGCCTCCGTCGAAATTGAAGCAACAGAACCTGCACTTAAGAAAACCTAAAAACCAGAACAAGGTTTGATCGGCCATATGAGAACGAAGAATTTGACTTTGGACGATGAAAACGAGGGTTTGATGAATCACAAAAAAGAAGCCGAGGGCCTCACATGGGCGATGGAATGGGATGATGAAGCGTTGGGATCGTTTTATATATAACGAATCTGGATAATATCAACGGTTTTTATTGATTTGAAACTGATTGATCCAATGGTGTGGATTAGATGAGTTTGTTGCTTTAAAAGAAATGCCGAATCGGCGGGTTGTTGGTTGGGTAAGGTATTTGCGGTCACAAAGAAAAGAAGGTTCTCGATGACGTAGATATTCTTGCCAGGCACGTTTTTTATGTGTCAGCTTCGGATATTTCAAATTGGGCCGCTTTGGATAGATTGCCTATGGGCCGATTCTGTTTTTTGGGCCTTAGACGGGATTTTTATAAAATACGGTTGTAGAATTTTTTTGACTTTCTTATGAGATAATACTATAAGTAAATAATAATAAATATATTTAAATTCCTTTTTAAATAATATAACTTTACGAATGTGTAGTTATATATATATATATATATATATATATATATATATATATTATATATATCTTGTATATATTATCTTTCACTTATTTTCTGGTTAATATATTATATTTAGTTTAACAAGATACTAACATTTTCATTAACTTTTGGTATAAGTTTGTTTTATCTTGTTATCGTTTACATTTTCTTGTTGACAACCATATGGTAACCAACTTTTACAAAATATCATTATCTTCTGCGAGTAAATATTTATCTTTATTATTTGTTTTAGTTTCAATGTAAGTGATGTAATCCTTTATTTAAAGAAATAAAAAATTGTGAAATATTTGATCCACTTCTTATTTAGAATTTATTTATATGATTCTTTCTTATTTTGTTTGCCAGGTTTATCGGGGTTATCGAAACTTTATTGTTTACTAAGAAAAAATAAGTGAAAATAAAGTTAAAAGTAAGTAGAAATAAAAAATTATATTAAAATTTGTAAGAAATTTAATTAATATAATAATTTTTAAATTAAAGACTAATTTAGAGAAAAAAATTTATTAATAATATTAAAAACTAATTTAAAATCAGTTATAACTTTTATTTATAATAAAAATTATTTTAGATATGAATAACTTTTAGTTTATAAAATCATCTCTAAATTAGTTACTAATAATTATTTATTTTTTATTTCTAAAACTGGTTGTTATTTAATAATTATTTTTAATAAATTATATTTTTAGTAAACATTTTTCACTCATATCTACGAATCTTTCCTTAATCTAAATATCTTAAGTACGGAATAAGATGGTTGAAATGCCCTAATTCTAACCCTTCTTGATATACCATTTGTTCTAAAACTCGATTCAACTGAAATTATATTTATTAGGGTAAAGTTGATAAATTATTAGGATAGATTTAATTATTTCTTTAACCATTACCTAAAGCTCCTGATATCATATGATGTCTTATTTATTGTAACACTCTTTTCGCATTTTATCCTCTCGTTATACATGGATTTTATCCTTGATTAACACTTATCATTGTTATTATAATTAGGGAAAATGTCATAATTATGATTTGTCATTATTATCAAGAGAAATATTGTGATTATCATTTTTTTAAGAGACTAAAACATCTCCTGTTAAAAATTGTAACATTCCAAAATATAACATTAAACTATATTAAAGAGTCATCACAATTTTAATATTAACAGGAAAGAGATTATAAAGTTATTTACCGTCATCTCAAAATAATTATAAAGTAAACTTTATATAAAGTAGCTAAATAAAAAACTATCTACAATTACTAGTTTAAAGTAAATTAAACATATGTAGCTCCTCTGTCCAATATTTACTCCAAAGAGACTTCATTTTCCTCTACTCACATCCACCGGATGATCATAGCAAAAAGAGAAAGTAAAGGAAACATACAAACACAATCACAAACAAAAGGGTAAGCTAGCAATACAAACAATTCATAATACATTAAAACATGTTAAACTTTTTACACATGATACACATAGCATATCAACCAACCAAACACTTTATGCATGACAACCCCTTTGACTTGACTATTGATTAGTATAAATATTGAGTTATGACAATTCGTGCACTTATTGTGGTGAAACAATTGGTCCACCTGAAGCTACCACACAAGGTTAGTCTGTTATTACTTGTCTTAGGCAAAGGTAAAGTCCCTAAATTAGGACCTTCTGATATTCTCACGACATGCCTCGCCCCTCTCTTCTTGAAAATGATTGACCATTAGAATGTCACGATGAACTCTAAGGCTGAGCTTCACATATTAGTTACAATACTTAAACCCACCACTGAGAAGTTCCTCCTTGAAACTTTCTTTACCAACCTTGAAAACCATTTGAAATCATACACATGTCCATACACTTTCACATTGAATACCAACATATAACATCACTAATCATACATCAAAGTATCATAAACAACCCAATAAGTTATCATAAATCACTTAAACCATAAGCATGGAAGCACATAGGGTGAATGATGTGTGAATAAAATGTAATTGCATTCATATCTTAGTTTAGACCATTTGCATACATAATTGCATAAATTGAATTATTTCATCATGCATTATCTTTGTTTCGGATCATACATTTGGGTTTTATGTTTTTCTTGTAGATTGGTGTTTCTAAGTGTTAAAATTACAACTTGGGAAGAATTGATGTCCAAGATATAAAGTTGAAACCAGAGAGTTCCACAACCTAGTTGTGAACGTTTCCACAACATGTGGACTTGTCTCGAGAGAAACAAATTGAAAACCAACAAGTTCAACAATTGAGTTATGGCTTTTTTTTAGAACTTGTGGATTTACTTTACGAAGTGCGAAAGTGAAACCAGAGAAGTGTACAAGGTGATTATGATTTTTTCCATGAGCAGTGAAAATTTTCAGAACAGATACTAAACTCTCATATGAGTCACCAACTACATAACCAAGTTTGAACACATCCCAACACCTCAAATTACTCAAGGGTTTCCTACCAAGCTTCTTTTGGTGCTCAATTGTGAAGGTCGTATTTTAAATCTTCAAAAATCGTTTTTCAGTGATAACTATTGGTCTTAGCTCTCAATTATGTTAATTATTCTATTTTTGTAAAAGTACTTCATTTTTATCAAAATTTCATTGAATTCACAATTGATTAAATATCATTACCACACTTTGTATTTCTAATCTAAAGTATAATTTACTAAAAAATATAACATCTTTATCCATTTTGAGTTATAAAATAATATAAAATTAAGTAATTTAGACACTTATTAATTTACATTTCCAACGTATTTATATTATTGTTATTGTCATTACTTGTGTTACTCACCGAATTATTCTTCTCTATAATTAACATTATTATTCTAGTATTTCTCAATATAATACAAGTCCAAACATTTAAAATTAATTAATTTCTTTTTTTATAAGAAATAGTACATCAAGCTTACATTTTCAAGTACTATTTTAAGACAAACACTTAAAAGCTTAAATTAATTTTCAAGGAAACTAAAGAATTTAGGTACAACTAATATACATATTTTGTTAATAAAGAATTAAATATGATTTTATTTTTAAATTTTATCGCGAGATCAGAATTTTCCTAAATTTTAAAAATAAATGAATATAGTTCTTATAATTAATTAACTTAAAAATTTTTGACGGGTTAAATCTATTTCTTAGTTGACACTAAAATGAGAACACGTAAAATGATGTAAATAACTCAAATACTAGCATGAAATGTGTTTGACATATCAAAACAATTTATCGTAATTTGGTTAAAAGAATTAAATTCATTTGTTTTTTTAAGTTTAGGACCAAAACATATTAAATTTTGGATATGAACGAATTTCAATTTTTGCATCAAAGTTAAAAGACTAAAAACATACTTAACTCTTAAATAAATATAACAATAAATAAAAAAATACAAAGAAAATAAAATTTCATTTTTTGAAACCCTAAAATAAACTAAGAAAAAAAATATATGAAGAACATAAATTTTTATTTTAGAATTTTGTGTCAATAGTAAACAAAGTCACAATGAACATTCAAGTAAAGTATAAAAAATGTATGTAACAAACTAAAATAATTGTTGTAAAGACCATAGAAAGAGTCAATCGAATACCTTGAAAATCAAGTTGGCGAATAAAGATAAACTTATAAATATTTATTGGTAATCCTAATTCACGTTACACAAAATTGAGTGTACCATGTCCAATTTTTGTCACCCAATAATTTTTTTTATATAAATATTGATTAATTATTATTTCTAACACATTAATAAACCTAATAATACCTATACTAAGTTGATAATTTTGCATCAAACCATGCAAACTAGTGTTCTCTATAACTTCTATTTCAACGTCTTTTAAACTATATAATGACTTGTTTTATAACAAGTACTTTTTTATTTAATACAGGAAAACTCTGTCTTTTTTATTTTTTATTTATTTTAAAAATTTCTGTCACAGAAAAAATTGACTAAAAAAACTTCAAAAAAAAAATACACCCATGAAATTGAAAGCAACGTCCCATAAGTTTATGTCGAGTTAAATAAATTAAGAAAAGACAAAGTCTTAAAAAAAGAGTTATGAAAGGTAATTTTATAAAAACTCAAGTGGTATGCATAATGCATGTGATTACGTATGAAAATTTTGAATATACCATCAGTTAGTGTGAAGTCAACATGTTTTGATTTTGAAATTCCAACTTTTTATATCTAAACGATATAAAATTAGAGTATTGTTTTTAATTTCTATAGAATGAAGAAATTTTTAATAGAATTTATTTTCA